AAAATAGCAAGGAGCAGGAATACATTACAAAGGCACAGATATAATCATTATATACACCATGAAAGCAATGACTGGCAAGCAGGATAATTGCATGCATTTTGAAAGCATATGAATTTTCCCTTTTCCCCATCTAAGTTTTCTAAACAGCACTAGCCCTATTTTCAAATTCACAATATGTGGTTTACAATATGTGGTTACAAAAGTTTTCAAACATATGCAAAAATTTTGGAGATAAATAATCTTAAGTAGCAACTGACGGAATGTGAAACACCTAGAACTATAAAGATCACCTCTGAGTATTTCTGTCAGGCTATAGAGTGTTAACTAAGGGGAGAGACATGCTTTAAATGCTGTCAAAACATCCCACAGCTTTGGGACACATGTGGAGCAAAAGGGGGAAATAAACAATGCCCACTAAGCTATTCATATTCACATATTCTCCATCTCTCTCTATTCCCCTCTTCCCGTCCCCTTCCCCATCTTAATCCTTGCCACTATGATATAAGCTGTTCTGTTTTGGCATGGACATCCCCTCCCACTCTACCATGATGAAGTGATGGGTCAAAATAAATATCCCCCCTTTGAGGTTATTTTGTTCTGATATTTTGTCACAGTGATGAAGACTCAGACAAGTACTATGGACATTTGGCCAGCCTATAGGACGCTTCAGTAGTCAGTCAGTACTTTGCCACATTTGCTTTCTCTGTGTTGTTTTCTGAAGTCTCTGGAAGTAAATTGATTAATCCATAAACTACCAGCATTCACATTCAAAGACAAAGCAAAATTTCCTACAAGACTATAACAAGATTTTTCATGTACAGGAAAATTTACAATTTCATACCACCTAATATCTATGCCATACTCAAATTTTCTCAAGTGTCAAAGGACAATAAAGTCTTTTAAAATGAGTTTTTCACATGTTGGTAAAATCAACATTCATGCACTGCATTTTCTTCTTAGGATTCCTACCTCTTTTCCCATGATACTGGCCTTTTTTAAAAGTCCAAGCCAATAACGTTATAGAATGTTAAGCATTCTCTATATTTGTAACCTTGTGTTTCTTTGTTTGATTCATGTTAAAAATTTCAAAGTTTATGCTTTATACTTCGCACTTTATCAAATTAGGAGACATGCAGGGTCAATTTGTATTATTATTGGTGATGCTAACATTGGCCAATGATTTAAGGCAGTATCTGTCACAGAGCCTCATTGTAAAGATCCACCATGTCCATTTATAATTAGTAGTCTGAGGCAATGCATTGAAATGAGTATCTTGTCTCTCAATGTTATTTGTTTTGATCATTTGGTCAGTGCTTAAAACAAGGCAGTGCAATCGCAAGCTAATGCTTTTGCTATCACCCCCACATTCATTAGCTGCTGTTCTTCTATAATAGCTTTTCTTTCTTTACCAACTTGCCCACGAGTTTCTGCTTCTACAATGTGCTATTAGCAAATATTCATGTTCAAGTTTCCCAAACGTCACTGTTGCCAACCTTATCAAATGAATCCCTTTCTTTGTGGTATAATTTACTCAAGGCTCACCTTGTGTTTCCAAACCCCAGATCTAGAAGGGCTACTTTTCTAAGCTGCTCTGTTCCCTTTGAAAAGGGAATAGTATTTAGAAACAAAGAACTGGGCATTAGGTATACTCACATTTTTGGAGGAGGGGAATCATTTCAAGGCTAGAAAGGATGTTTTTGTTTTACTTTGTGCAGTGAATTCATAGACATTCCCTTTTACCCTTAATATTGCAAAGCTCTGCTCTTCATCTCTAACTTTGTATCCAGTTCTCCTTTTCTTACATCATGAACCTTAGCTTCTGTTAAATTAGTATATAAACACATACAAATATATGTGCACATACATATTTGTTTCTTCCTTATGAAATGCGTGTGTATTTTAGATCATATTCATATGACTACTAATTAACCAACAGGTTAAAGCTTGAAATTTCTTTGTAGCTCTTGTTTTCCAAGGTTGTTTCATTAAGGATGAGTCAGAGGCATGTGCTGACAACTCAGTTGAAATAATTGTTTTCTCTGTGTGCTTCTAACATGAAGTTGACAAACATCCATCTGCTTTTTCAGTGTCCTGTTTTGGGATTCTTAAGATTTGTTTTAATTTGACTTTCGGATCTGTACAAATTAGCATTGATTGGAAGTAAAAACTATATCAGAATGTGACTTAGAGGAATCTAACTCTTGTCCTTATCTCCTACATGTCCTTAATACCTTTCCCCAAGTGTAGCCATTCTCATAAATTTGTTGAGGTATATCTGCCATAAAGTTCCCCATTTGAAAGACTTTTCAAAGACTATTCAATGGCTTTCAGTATATTCGTAGAGCAATATAACTGTTATCAATGTCTAACTCGAGAAGCTTTCATCGCTCCATTAAAAAATGATCACACCCAGTATCAGCAACTCCTTATCACTATGCAATATTTTATCTATCAACTTATATAGTGACAGATGCTAGACTTATTTACACCACTGAGTAATTATGGATAAAGCTGTTATAAACATCTGTGTGTAAGTTTTTGCATGGACATCTGTTTTTATTTACCTTGGGTATATAATGAGGAAATAGAATTACCAGGTCACACAGAACCATATATTTAACTTGTGGAATCATTAGGTATTTTTAAAATCACATTGTGCTTCAGTTGACATATTTTTAACAAGTGTATGATTTCTTACATTTTTAATTTTCCTCTTCTATTAGAAAAAAACTTAGAATATTACACCCCCTGATTTAGGTCTTTTGTTGTTGTTGTTGTTTGTTTTATAGCCTAACATGTATAATGTATCCCATGAGAAAAAATCCTTCATAGACAAAGTCCTTATTCTTTTTTTAATGAGTATACAATATTACATGGTGGAATATACCCTTATTCACTCAACAAGTCCTCATTGTGGGACATGTACTATGTCCAACTTTTGTAATTAAAATTATGCTGCACTGACCAACACTGCTTTTCATTTGTGGAGACGTATCTTTAGAGGAAATAGCAAATCGTGTGACTGGTAAGCTAAAATGAAAATTAATATGCACATGTGTTAAATAGTTCTGAATCCCAGTCTTCTGGGAGCATACTAAACTAATACTGTAATAAATCAGAGTGCCGTTTTCCGTAATCTCCTTGATAGAAAACGTGAATTTAAATTTGTCAATGAATTGGAATTCAGTAGAAGTTTAATCTGCATTTCATTACTATGGTGAGACTGAGTATTAAATTTCCACACATTTAAGTCTTCCTATTTCTGTGATACAATTATATGTATCTCTTTTTTGTTTTGAAGATTTTGAAGAGCAAGAATGGTGAAGTAAACCAGGTAGATGGGAAGATGGAGGCAGATATCCCATCACTCACTACCAGCAGGAACATTATCATGAGTTCTTGGGCTCATCACATTAGATTTTCAGAAAGTCACAGCTAGAAGAATACATCATAAAATTGCTGACTCTGCTCCTTCCAGCTATAGATGAACAAGTTCTACATTAACAAACTGAGGGCCGAGGAGTGGAAGGACTTTCTTTAGGTCACATAACAAATTAGAGTTAGACCTAGAAATTGAACTCAAAGTTACTTTTCATAGAGAAACTTCAAATTAATGTGTAAATAATTTCTTTGTTGATTTTTGTATTTTTATTAAGATTGCATCAAAGTACATTTTGAAGAGAACATGTCTCTTAATATTCTTTATTAGCTGGAGCTACAGACATCAACAATAAACTAAAATCTATCTTTTTGTTATCCATGCTTGTTATCTATATCAGCATCTTTAATATCCACTTGCTGTAGAAGTATAAAAATGTATCTTAGAAGGTACAAGCTGGATGAGATTTCTGGAGATATCTCCCATCACAGGAACACCTGAGGTCCAGACAGGCAGAGTGTTTAATATGTATCACAGGATCAGCCAAGACGGTCCTTTGTCTGAGATCTCACCATCACTAACTGCCTGAAGTTTAAGAGTTAGATCCTCTCTAGATAAGGTTCAATGTAGCACAATGAATTTTGGGAGTGTGTAGATAATCTTATTTGCTAAATATATGTTTAGGGTGCACTATTATTTTAAGATTAATTGCACATTACTGCTTAAAATACCAGGAGAGGCCTGGAGACAGGCAGGCCAATGAAATGAGCTAGCAACAGAACTGAAATAAGCACTCCAAACATTATAACTTCGGAACTGCAGTCTTTCTGTCTTTGTTTTGATCCAAGCAAATTAATCTTTGCTCACAACATTGAATATTTGCCATGATGCATCATCATGGAGCATGTACACCCCTTCTAAGTCTCTTGCCACCTACCACACCAGGCCAGGAGGGTGATCAGATCCTAGTGTATCTCATTTTATCCATCTCTCTCTCCCCCTACTCCCTCTCTCCATCAATTCCTCCTATTTTCCCTCCCTTCCCTTCTCCTCCTCCTCTCATTATTTACTTCATTTCTTTTCTTTTCTTTCCTTGGCAAGGTCTCACTACGTAATGGTATAGTCTGGATTCAGACTGACAGTCTTTCTACACTCTCTGCGCAAATTCTAGGATTACAGACACACAGACTGTGCCTGACCAAAAGAAAAAAATGCACTTCTTAAAAGTTCACAGGCTTTCCTATGTTCATTTGAATCCATGACACTCCTACTTCATGAACACATAGAGACTCAGAAAGGCTTGCTTAGGATTAGACAACTAAAGGAGTTATAGAACTGGGATCCCAAACTAGGATTGTTTGACAGTAAAGTTCATGTCTGGTCCTAGTGCACAGCACACTACCTTACTGCTACCATTAAGCTAAAATAGACCAGGGGACCATTGATTCTAGAATACATACAGGGTGAATGCAAAATTGACCTCACTCAGAGAATACTCAGATGGCACAAGAAAAAGTTGGGGGATGGGGCTCCATGAGTTGGGAGTCAGTTTTTCTTTAGTTTTCCTATGTGCTCCAAACCTTCAACTGAAACACTTTCTGAAACCCAAGCAGTTACTTACTTTACCAGGTGTCTGATTAGCAGTTCCAGCATCTCCCGGTTCTTCTCTGGTAGCTTATATACTAGGGAGTGAATAGACCCCAGACGGTAATCCAGGTTGTCAGATTCTGGCAGAGAGAACACAGACAGAAGGTTTGGCTCTGAGGTCTCACACACACACACACACACACACACACACACACACACACACACACACACACACACCTGAGCACAGAGAAAGGAGAGAGGAGAGGAGGGGAGAGAGTAAAAATGATGAAGAGAGGAAACAGGTAAATAAATAAGCCCGGACATACTGAATAAATGAGAAAAAATAGAAACCAAACCAACAATTGCCAGGAACAATTAAAAAGCAAAAGAAACAAAATATAGGCCTAGAGGGAAGAATACACTGGAAAGTAGGGAATGGAAGTTTGTGGACAAGACAGTCTCAGAGGCAGGCAGAATTACAGTCACAGCAGGCAGACTCTAAAGCCCCAAGCAAAGCTTCTGGTTAGAAGCCTTTTTCCCACCTACTATGTGTAAGGAACTATAGTTGCTGCCTTCCAAAGTCAATCACTGAAAGAGTCCAGAAGTCCACACCACATGCCTCCAGTTGGCCAATTTTCTTGAAAGCATACAGCTAACACTGGTTATCAAAATGATCTACCTCGAAAAGTTATCAATCAAAAATATGTTCATTTAGCAGTGGGCAAAATATGAGTTTATTCTGGGAATTTTCCCCTCAAAGCAGTTTGTTAGCTTTTCACCAGACTTGGTATGAAAGCAGAACAACACAATTTAACTAGTAATGCACATACTTACTGGCAGCAGAGACAAGCTCTTTGTGAAGCTTATAAGTCATGACAGGCTCTGAAAGATTCCTGAAATGAATGAAGAGGATCACATTTTGGAGGAGAAAGTGACCAGATCTTAGACTCTCAGTTTTATGAGTACTAAGGCCCCACAGCTTAGCCTGATTACACACATCTCACAGTTGACCAGTGGTATCTAAGTTTAAAAGAAGATCTGCAAATATATATGCTGGGACTTCCAGCAAGGTCTCTAACTAGCTCCCAAAAGGGTAAAGAAATAAAAAACAGTTCTGCCACACCTAAAATAGACTCACTCTAAATGTGACTATGTGCTTACAAGTTGATGGATCTGAAGAATTTCCAAAGTGCTCTTGTATCTGTTTTATTTGACCCTTCCATTAATCCTATGAAGTAGAGCAGGATTGAAACTAAGAGGCAAGTTCTGGGATGGAAATAAAAGTTGGGAAATCACTAACCACAGAGGTAGGAGCACAGACAAGATCATTTGATGAGATATTATACACATTTCCAGCCAGGTTTCTATAGAAAGTAATATACATAACATTTCTATTTCTTCGTCCCAGAATCCCCTGGTTTACCTCTAATCCATTAAAATCTGACTCACCCACAACTGCTCCAAGGAAGCTGTTCTTACCAATACCACCAGTGACTGCCTCAATGCAGCATACAAAGACAACTGCCATTCTTTACCTTCCTTGACTTCCTTGTGTCATTTCAAGTTGTTAACAAACCTCCTTGAGACTTATTTCTTGGATTTTGCTGAATCACTTGATTTTGGTTTTTCTCTTAACCTCTGTGGTCTTTCTGGACCTTCTTCTCTGGGAAGTTATCATGGTTCCTTTCTCTTTTTACACTAGAGGACTTGAAAACTCAAATACCTACAGAGGCTGGAAATTTTTCATATTGTGCATGTCTCATATTTAACCTGCACTTGCATGGCAGTGTCTTCATTTTTCTACAAACAGCAGTCATATTTACTAACACAAATAAGCATGTGAGCTCATGGGTCAGATCTTTTTATATTCCACAGAGATTGAAAATATATATTTTTATATGAAATATACTCATTTTAATATTTTGGCCATTGACTTGACTCTATTTCAGTGGTATCTACTACTGGACAAAAGGGGGTCCCATAAAGCACTGTATTGCTGTTTCCCAACACTCTGTCATCTATCCTGGAGCAGAGGGGCATCTGTTCTTGTGGTTTTAAGTACCAGCACAGCATCATGAATTACAATTTTGCCATTGAAAGGCACAAGAAGGGTCCTACATCTAATTTCTTAATAAACACTATTTATCCATGACAAACCTAAGTGGCCCCATGGCCTAGCACATTTACTTTATTCTCAATGGATTTCAGTTGTCTGTTTGCCCAAACCAGATTCCTTTCTCTGTCATGATCATAACCAATAAAAGAATTTCATCCACAGACTCTTTCCAAGATCGCTTCTTACCATTTATGCCACTGATATGAATCTTTATATAAACAAAAATAAAAATAAATAAGCTTTGCATCGTGACTGCACATATAGTGTGACCTCATGTTCTTACTGCCACCACTTCCCCTGAAATGATGGACTGGATGCTTTCTTAAGCCACGAGTCAAAACAAACTCTTCTTAAGAAACAAATTGAAAGAAATCAATAATGATGACAGCCTAACACATATGACAATCCCATTGATGATCAACTCTTAATAGATGTGTTGGCCACTTATAGTTTTAGCCTTGACCTTCCCTTTTGTTAATTAGGCTTGAGCTAGAAAGGATTTCAATTGAAGAAAGCCTTTGAAATATGTCCTTGAGAATACTGGCTCCTTTTAAGGAGGATAGGAATAGTGCAGTGTATCACTTACTCACTGACAACTGTCATTATCCCAAGTCTTTGAAAACTATTCATTTAACATTACTCTTTCCTTATTAAACTACCCACACATTCCAAAGTTGCCCAAGGCTCCTAAAACAGGTACTAAGGGAAAAACAAGACCCCAGGAAAAGTGACCTTTTAACTTAGAGATTTAGGTTCAGAAAGCACAGCTATAACCACAAACATACTTCGTTTTGGAAGTGAGAACCTCAGTTTCCCCACCTGCAAAAAAAAAGGAGTATCCCACTTCCTGTGATACACAGGTATTGGGATAAAAAATATCAATGGAAATGTCAATGACAGCAACTAGCACAGTGTCTATCACAGGATAAGTCCTTCAGTAGCATTTCCCTTTTTTGGAAAATAGATAGAATGGACATGCTTCTAAAAAGAGCACCCGCCGGGCGGTGGTGGTGCACGCCTATAATCCCAGCACTCGGGAGGCAGAGGCAGGCAGATCTCTGTGAGTTAGAGGCCGGGCTGGACCGACAGCCTCCAAAACAATACAGAGAAACCCTGTCTCGTAAAAACCAAAAACAAACAAAAAAAGAGCACTCATAGTTATATGAAACTAGAACCACATCAAGATAATGCAATAACGGAAGGTCATTCACCATCAATATCATGACCTGACTGTTTGGAATAACGATATAGAGCAGAGTTTAGATATCAATCTTATTGCTAAAAGACCACAAAAAATGAAAAGAAAACACTTGAACTTGAAACTATGGTGCATATTATAGAACATAAAGAATGGTAGTGAGCAACTGAAGGGAGTACTACATGTGGGAGAACACACCTTTAACTAACCCCAGTACAGAGGCAGAGGAAGGCAGGGGATTTCTGTGAGTTGGTGGCTAGCCTGATCTAAATAGAGTTCCAGACCATATATTTATAGCAATAAATAGGACATTAATTTTATTAGCACTGTGTATCCCCAATTTTTGCTAGTAAGTTAATCCTTTTTCTTACTGCTATCATGTCATTGATCTCCAAATTTGTGTTTTACTTTATATTTCCAATTATGTGGGTTAAAATAGGACAGTATGGTATAGCTTTATTTTATTTCTATTTCTCTCTTTGGGCAAGGATTCTACCACTGAACTACATCCACAAGAGGATGGTTTGAAAGAACAGTGTTTTTTTTTCAAAAATATTTTTTCAGTAACAAATACTTTCTATGTTAAATCCTCATACTAAAGATTTGTTTTCTAGAGCTTGAGGTGGTGGCCTATGCCTATAATTCTAGCATTCAGGAAACTGAGAGAGGATGATTGTATCAAGTCCCAGTTCAGCCTGGGCTACATAGTTAGTCCCTGTCTCAAAGACAAACATAAAACATCTTATTAAACAGAAATCCTCCTAGACAAATTTCATCAATCATGAAAAGTCAAATCCTAGTTGAAGCAAAACATACCTGAGGTAGAATTTTAAGGAGCTTGTGATTGTCTTAATGTCCCAGTCACTGTTATGAAAATCCACATCTCCTGGGCATTTTGGATCTAAGAAAAAACAAAACAAAAAATAATCTTCCCACAGATTTTACCTGTTATATTCTTTTTTTTAAATGAAGTATATTAATTAGATGGTTACTCTAACACATTTACAAGAGACCAAAACTTTACAAAAAGAAATATTTTCAGTTTTCAAAAAGTATATTTTATTCTGACTTGGTATGCAAGAAATTTGAAAATGTTCACTTCTAGACACCCTGTGAGGGAAAAACAAAAAAACAAAACAAAACAACAACAACAAAAAAATGCTTAACAAACCGAACAACTCCGTAGACGACCAAAGTTCTGAGATTGAGAGGGAAAGTACTGCTGCAGGACCGTGAGGACAAACGGACTGCATAGTCAGCACTTTCTGGTAGAAACTCCAGGGTAGAAACACCATGGAAACCCCTCAAGAAAGAGAAGGGAAGAAGAGGAGGGGGAGGAGGACAGGAGAGAGCAGGAAAACCTAATCTGTAAATGAAAAAGAAATGCTAAGAGTTTCAGAGTTAAAAAAAAATGAGTGGCCTGTGACAGACTTTGATGATCCCCCCATCCCTGAGGAGTAGATGGGGGTTGGGTAGGGAGATGGTGGTGGTGGGGTCATGAGAGGACAAGAGGGAGAGGGAACTGGGATTGATGTGTAAAATAAGATTGTTTCTAATGTAAATAAAAAATTAATAAAAAAATGAGTGGCCCAACCCTATCAGGGAACACCACAGGTTTTGGCTCCCTACTAGTTTTACGCTGAGAATGCGATCAGTTTTCCAGAGTAGAAGTCTAAGAATAATCTCCTCACGAATTCATGCTTCTAGTAAAGGCTGAAGAAAAGTTGCCATGTACCTAGAACTTTGGTTAACAGAAACTATTTTAATTTTATTGTACTCCAATGACTACAGTTTTATATAATCTAAATGAAGCAAGTAGTTGGAGAAAACATTCAACTCTATACTCAGTCTCTTCTAAAAGGGAACATCAAAAAATAAACTGAGAGGCACTGGGAAAGGTCACAGGCCAGGAGTACAGTAGACAAAAAAAATCACAAGAGTTATGCAACACTCCCCCGTCTCATGGCACCTCACCACCACATCAATAAGCCTTCTGCAAACTAACAGTTCTCATTCTGACTAAAGGAACAGCACAATTAACTAAATCTCTATGGCAAACCAAAGATAGAGGACAGTCAAAAACACAAACTTAACCTGAACTAAACATAAAGCTTCATACTAAAGGTACATACACCTCCGGTAATTTTTTTTATCTATTACAACATGTCTGGCTTACAAAAAGTCAGAAAACACAGCTGAAAGATGCAGAAGAAACAAAAACCACACTTTGACATGCAGATTTTAGAAATACAAACTCAGTAATTTGAAACAGCCGTGATTAACAGTAAAGGCTATAATACACAAAAGTGAATACCATAAAAGAAGAGATGAATAAGACAGAAGATAGATACAAAAATCTAAGGAAGCATAACAACTAATGCTAAAGTCAAAACACTGGAATAGGTAGGAAGAAAGCCTTTAAGAACTGAACACAGAGGAGAGAAACATCATTGAGTATGAAGAAATGCAACAGGTACTTTTAAAATGGAAATACAAACCAAAAAAAAAAAAGGATCGAAAAGTGAAAACAGAGAATCTAAAGCTATGAAAGGTGATGAGAATCACCATGATGAAAGGAAAGCTAAAAGAGAGATTTTTGGATGCAGCTCAGTGGGAGGGTGTTTTTATTGCATGTGTGAGGCCCAGAGTTCAATTCCCAGTGCTATAGGAAAAGAAGGGAACAGGATAGAAAAAGAAAAGAGAAAAGAACAGAAAAGAAAAACATTGAACTACTAAGAATTTCCCCAATCTAATGATAATTGCCAAGCCACAAATGCAGGATAGATAGATGGGGGGGGGGGGGGGGAGAAAGCGAGACTGCTGAGAATAAGTGACTGCAAAGACCCATCCCCAGTTAATATAATTACAAAGCAACCCTTACACCAAAGTGCTACAGTGCTCAATGACAACATTCAGTGAATTAGGATTCAGACTTCTAAAATTTTCAACTGATATTGTAAATCAAAAACATATATACATATATATCCTACAAAAATTAAACTAAACCGCCAACAAAACAAATCTCAATATAGCAAAACCTGATAAAAGAATACAGGTTGGCTACTAGCAATCTCTCTAGGGACTCAGTTTACAGATTCAAGAGGAGAACACTCAGAAAATAAGTGGGTAGGGCATAACAAATCTTTACCTAGATGTCAGTTTCATCTTACCCTAGTCATAATGAAAAAGATCACAACTCACAACTGACAGTAAAAGCTGGAGAGGATGTGGGGGAAAAGAGAACACTCATTCACTGTTGGTCCATTCACTTTGAAAATCAGTGTACATATCCTCAAAAGGTTAAACATCAACCTACTATATGCCCCAACTACATCACTCCTCAGCATATGTCCAAAGTACTAGACATTCTACCGTACATACACTTGCTCAGCCATGTTCATTACTGCTGTATTCACAGCAATTAAAAAATGAAACAACCAATATCCTTCAACTAAAAAGTGGATTATGAAAATACTGTACATATATCCTATGGATACTATGCAACTGTAAAGAAAAATGACATTTGCAGGCAAATGGATGGAAATAGAATAGATCATATTGAATGATGTAATACAAACCCAGAAACAAAGATGTCACATATGAGGTTCCTAGCTCCAAATCTTCAGATATGAGTGTATATATATATACATATATATACACACATACACATACATACATACATACATACATACATACATACATATTCTGGAGAAAGTACACTAATCAGGAAAATTTTTAAAATACTGTTACAAGGGAAGGAGCAATAGAAAGATGAATAGCAGGGTATAAATGAGCTAAGGAAGAATGGGTTTAAAAGAAAGAACACAAATTCAGAAGAAGGAGGGAAGAAGGTAACATGATAGTAAGGGTATCAGAAAAAGTCTTAAGGTATCATACCATTAACTATATTCCTAGAAATATCTATAACAATATAAAAGCCTGTATAAAAATACATATGCTTTAAATGAAATATTTCCATCTGTGTTCCCCCAGGAGCCATAGACCATACAAAAATCCGTAACACCAGGCATGAGAAGCCCTCTTTTGAGGTGTCCATGAAATTCCCAAAACATTCAGGACTACTGTTGCTGTTTTTGGTGATCTTCCCCCACAGGTGCAAGGTAAGACTCTAATGGTAAATGCACCAATGTACTTCATACACAAGACTCAGAAGACCTGGACTGGATCTGTCCTAAAAGCCTCTTCCTCATATATGCTTTTATGGTACAAGAAGGAACAACACATGCTTCTAAGGGAAGTAAGCAACTAATAATACTACGCAGGTATTATGTCTATTATGTCTGGAAAACTCTAAGTGTGCAACAGTGGCAAGCATATATTGGTGGTAATCAACAGCTCTCTAAAATTTAATTCCTATTCAACAAGACGGAAATCATGCCTGATACCGGAAATCTGGTCAACTACCCAATGTTAGTAAAGTCACCGATCTTGGAGGAGAACCTACAACCATCCATTTACTAAACTAGCCTAATTCCTAACTTTCTAAATATTTGTCATTATACCCACAGATAAGTGTTGGTCCTTACCCTTCATCAAGGGGTTTTTGTAATGGAGGCCACAATCAAAATGCAGAGTTGTGGAACTCACTCTTAACTGATACATCTATAACACAACTCTTGCACCTAAGGCTCTGCAATCAGCTTGGAAGGGGAGTGAAACAATTATAAGAGCCAAAGGAACAGGAAGTGTGCTGTGAGATTTCATCGCCTTAAATTGTCAAGGCTGCTTCATCCATCAAGTCTTAACAACATAGATACATAATTAACACTTGAACAAGATGACACAATCGATATGCTAATGGAACAAGGGAAACACATGAGGCCTCAAGCCTAGACAAAGAACTACTAAGGAAGGCTTAAAGTGGGAAGAAAACACTAATTGGTTTCCAATACCAATGGTGAGCCCTGAAAACATGCATACATGCAACATTATAAGGACTGAAAGTGTCGTCTTACATTTCTGGTTGTGTAGGGGGGTATGGATGTAGCAATAAGTAAGAGGCCATTAGTTTGAAAGAGAGCAAGAGGGTAAATGGGAGGAATTATAGCAAGAAAGGGAAGGGGGAATGGCGTAATTACAATCTCCATTTATATGTGTAGATGTGTAATAAAAATAATAAGCGGTCAAATGGAAATGAAATAATTTTCAAAAGTCTGGCTGAGTTTGTCACTGCTCCTAATATCTATAATCTTGCAGTGGTCTTTTTGTTATATCAAACTTAAATTGCTTAGTTGCTCCAAATTTGTCGGTGGATATGCTCCATGTTCTCTTATCTTTTGAAGAATCAACATGAAACAAACTTTCCGAATAAGTTTACAAAGTACACTTACAGATAAGTTCCTTTACCCTCAATTAAAACTTGAAAGATCTCTTTTACTAAGAAAATCTGTCATCTCCATAAGAATCTGCTCCACTATGTTCATAGCAGCATTATTTGTAATAGCCAGAACCTGGAAGCAACCTAGATGCCCCTCAACTGAACAGTGGATAGAGAAAATGTGGTACATTTACACAATGGAGTATTACTCAGCAGAAAAAAACAATGGAATCTTGAAATTCGCAGGGAAATGGATGGCACTGGAAGAAACCATCCTGAGTGAGGTAACCCAGTCGCAAAAAGACAAACATGGTATGTACTCACTCATATATGGATTTTAGACATGGATCAGGATAGTGCCAGTCTGCAATTCCACTGATAGAGAGTCTGGGAAACAGGAAAGAACCTAAAAGATATGCATATATGCATAGTACCCAAGAGAAGAGGATGGAGACAAGATCCCCTGAATGGATGGGGAACACGGCGAGGGGTGGGGGGAGTGGGACCTGGGAAGAAGAGAGGGGGTGAAGAGGAAGAGAGTTGGTCATGGGGGAACAGGAAGT